ACCATCTGCATGTACGTTGCCAGGTAGTGATGTCTCGTGAATGCAGAAGCCAGCGTGTGTAAAGTTGATTTTTAGTTGTGCCACTTATAAACACGAGTGGGGAAAATAGTGCTCATTTACTGTATGTTTGTATGCACTTATTACAGTATGTAGTGGTTTATGAGATTGGTTAAAGTCTTTCCCATGCCTTTTATTGTCCAGATGAACCATATATATATATATCTACAGTTTCTTAGAATGATACTACACAAAACTTCTCCCTTCAAAATCATTCATAATGGCTATGATTGTAAGGTGCTTGATAGGACTATATTCAAAGTTTCTTGGAAATATCCATAAGTTTATAAAGCACATTTTGGTATATGTCATTCCAAATAATACTGGGACTAGAAATAAATGCAAATCATGGGAAAAGTTAAGTTTTCATTAAAACCCTAAATCTCTACAACATACATGTACATGTATGAATATATGACGGTGAATTAATGACAGAATTCTCATTGTCCTAAAATTTCATGAAATAAAGTGTTCATGATTACTCAGGCAAGGTAAATAATGGGAGAGAAATCAAAATTTCCACATGACAATATTTCTTTTGAAAAATATCCTCAATTAAAATGAACCTTATTCAATCTGTCCTTAGAAGAAAAAAAATTGAAATCGATTAAAAGAAGAATATGATATTAAACAGTTGCATATTTTACAACTTGGTTTTATGATACACATATTAACATTATTTATTGGTTAGGTATCATTTGGTTTAAATATGTACGGTAATATATAAAATCATAAAACTTAATGTAAATGGGATATTTACAATATTTCAAGGCTGTACCTAAAAAAAACAAATTTTAGGGATTTGAAGTTTACAAAAATAGTAAAAAGAAATATGTAGGTCATACATGATACATTATGCTTTAGTCTTCAGTGTAAAAGGCATTTTTCACTGCATAACAGTGTCTTGCCCAGAAATTGAAATATTCTACATTTCCAACTGCAAGATTATAACCTGAATATGAAATTTATCCTATTCTGCAGGAGTAGGAGAGGGAGCTCAAGAAGGGGGGGGGGGGCTTTTCTTCCCATGCATAACCAGTTTTGTTTATATTTATAAACATGATCTAGTTTTTCTTCCCAAGAAGGTCTTCTTCGTCGTGGTGGCTTACTCAGAAACAGAGACAAGAGCAGCGCTGTGGGGAAATTGGAAACAGCAGTGATTGCCGGGACTCGAGCCATGCGAGGTGATCTGCCTAATGTCCCAGATTACCGGCGCAACAAGCCACACAAAGGAAGAAGGCATTGATAGCCATGTGCCCTGTATCTAGACTGCACAACACCGATAGAAGAGACCTCCAATTATTTGGGATTATTCTCGGGCAGAAAGCAGGTCTGCCTGCCTGCCTGCACAGGGACATTCAGACACCCAAACTTACTCATCGCTTAGCATTTCTATCAAAAGCAACCGCAATTATATTTCGCCAGTGTGTCTTCTTCTCTTTATATCTGATTGTTTGTGGTGGCTGCAATGTCCTTCGCATCCTGTGGAATGTCCTCCAGTTTGGGCTGCCTTTATCCTTTTTGGTTTTTATATCAAAACAAATGCTATTGTCCATTTCTTATGGTTTTAATCTCCAGTTTTTTAAGCTATATTTATAATCCATTTTCACAAGGTAAATACATCAATGATTTTGATGTATATTTTTGACAAATGACCTTCAATTGAAGTCATCAAATTAATCTTGAAAATTCATTTTTCCATAATGAATGTGTCAATTATTTTATTACATAGGCATATGTCTGACAAAATATAACTTAATCAAATGAAAAATCTTCAAATTAAATCTGTACAATCCATTTCTATAAGATAGATATGTGAATGATTTTATATCTATTTTTTGAATTCAAACATGACTTGTTCAAATTCAATCATCAATTTCATCCTTCCATTACGCTTTTACATGATAATTGTGTGAATGATTAAAATATATGTATTTCTTACAAATATGACTGGATCAAGTGAAATCACCAAAATTCACCATTAAAATTCACTTTCAAATTGACATACCTCATTGATATATCATGATTTTATACACATTTTTAAAGAATATTTGACCTTGCAGTGCTGTTATCCTGCATGCTGTCACAAGATTAATACACCTCCACATTAAATTGTACATTATGAATACAAGGCTCAAATTACAAAAACAAAAAAGAGAAATAGTCAAATGGAATATCGATCAATCACAATTTTCTCATGTTCCAAGCTTTTTAAAACTCCCTACAATCATTCGAATTGACCCAAAGCATGTGGTCTGCATGAAATATCTAATTTGTTTACGATCCTTTTAACCCTGAAAATTATGGGTCTTCCCTTCTAGACTTCCGATAATGTTCCCTGCAAAACTTGTTACACATGCCCAAATTATCAAATGTCTGTGCAAAATACATCATCAGTTTAAAACACAGAGAATGGAGTTGGAGAAATAGAAACTATTCTTGTTTCCGTTAATTACTATCTTAAGCCAGACATGGGGGATCTAAGCCACCCTTGCTGCATACACCCACAGTCCAAAACCTCTACACCGGTGTTCCTCCCTGCCTTTTCTCCTCTCCCTTCTCAATTTTTGTGACATTATCAGTATTCTCAATTAGGGGCTAACTGACTGCACGCTGACAGAAGTAGATACGCGAAATTCGACGGGACATTTCGGGATTTTCCATATCACACGATTTAATGAAATCAAGGCGAGAATGTGATTCTTGGTGCTTGTCGTTTTTATTTCATCAGGGATCCTCAGAGGGGGAATGAGTGGAGATGAAAATTAAATTGGGCAGAATTTGGTATGATTGCCATTAAGCCATTATATGCTAAAATCCCTGAAGATATAAATTTGTTTAGAAATTGCTACATGGTACTTCTATTCTCTTACTCTATTTGCCACATAACAAGTGTCTCCCATGGTGAGTAGATCTTGTTAGGGCATTACGGATAATCAAATACAAACAAAAAGGGCTGGGTTTTCTTTCTTAATTCCTGCTTTTTGACCTTTACATGGAAGATAACTGTTCAACCACTCTCTGCAATTATGTCACAAAATCTTCCACCCTGTTGACGTCTTTTGTGGGTTATTTTTACACCATACATGTACGTCACTCAATAATAATGATTTAATTTGTCACAGCTTGTAAGAAATGTTGAAGGTAGTGATAAGAAATTATACTCCCTTAAAAAAATTACCTCATTATCACCTTGGAATGACTGTGTATCATTCCAAAAAGTGACAAGGTTTTTTTCTTCACAAAATAGAATTGAGGTAATATTGTTTATTCATTAACACAGCACTACTTAAGTATTTACATGCAGTTTTGCCTCTCCTTGTGCACTTCATTCAAGGTTAGCTTAGAACAGCTACATAAGTGCTTTATTTTGTAATTTAGTCAACTAATTTCCAAACAATCATATTTTATGAAAATTATATCTTCACTGAAAAGTAATGTAATTTCTGTGCAAATTATTATGAAGCACATTTTATCCAATTTGTTTGATATATCACAAGAAAATCTTACTTAATTATATTTTCAAGATTTCTTTTGTTACATTTAGGTATGATATTGCTACATGTGACACTATATTAATTTTTTTTTTATCTTTTTCATATGTTGAACAAAATATCAAGGAATTATATCAAAGAATGGAGATCTTGAGAATATAAAATATTTTGCCTGCGTTACAGTTGTACAGTGGTGAGGCAACTCAGGCAAGCAATACCCAATAATATTTGACATTGTAGAAGTGTGTTTAATGTGTTTAGTAGACATGTACATAAGGAGTTTGAGCATGAGGATTAAAAGGAGTGTATGGATTAGGATCAACTTGACGAAATTATAGAAAAAACAATAATATATACAGATCAAACAACAGGCATCAATTGCCTTGAGAATTCAATGTACCATTCCTCCTCTCAATTTCTAACAAACATGATCATCAAATAATTGAACACTATTATTTCATGAAGGAAGATTTGAAGAGTACATTCACAAATAGAATTATGAGTTAGAGGTTGCCTAAAATTACAAAAACACATTGCTATGAGACTGCAAACTAATGTTCATTTTTACATCTGTCTGAGCTCGGACTTATTCCTACAATTTGCCTGCCTCCATGCAACTCACAAGACCATCAATTTCTCCGTGCTTCCCAAATCAGGCCGAAATGAATAATTCCATATTTCCATGACCACTGATAAACAACAACAAAAACCAAAGAACTGAAACAACTCTGGGAGAAAGAAGCCCATCAACGACAGAAGCATAAGATATCATGACATTTCAATTAAAGAGGGATCTAGACACAGATCTGTGGTTTTGCAATTTTCCTTCTCACAAGCAACTCAAACCTTTCTGCTATAGCTAAGTCTGCCAAGCTTAATTTGATGTTTATTTCATTTCAATGCTTTCTATGAAATTATGCCTTCATTTGCCATGATTGTGGGATGGTTATATATGCATTATTTTTTACAAATTTATACATGCATTTTTCATTAGGGAGATACAAGGTTTATTTAACCAAGATTTTGCAATCAAGGACCATGATATACAGCATATATTCATAACAGCTTCAACTGCTATTATGAGTTTTTGATTTGATATGAATTTTTTTTTTTAAGAAGAAAAAAGTCGGGCATTGCGGCTTTTGAAGTGGAGTCGATGTCTTACAATAAATAATCACATGACCTATAAACTCAACCAAGCAAAGCAATCTTTTCTCCTATTTAAAAGTAAAGACTTGAAGTCTCCAGTTGTACATTTTAAAGGGCAAAGATGACATACTAGTAGGCCTACGGACGAAAGTTATACATTTTCAAGGTCTATTGCATCCATTATGAGATGATCGACAATTTGAAGTTTCTTACAATATTGAACTCACAAGAACAATCTGATGTAACAAGACTGGTTAGTTTCCAGGAATTTGTATCGATATTAAAATAAAATTTTCTTACCTTTTCTAGCTCCAAAAGGTGAAATCTTAATACTTGAATGGCTTGGATCATCTGTGTAAGAAAAGAGAAAACAAACATATTTTCTATCATTAATCATAATATTTTCTTCGCTTAACCAAACGATAAAAAGGTTGGAGAGCATTGTTGGCTATAATCAAGTAAAAAATAATACATTCAACGGGGCAAAACATAATTCGAGGTTAAACCTTAAGAATACCATCTAAAATGTCAAAAATGTATTTGCAAGAATGCAAAAGTAAAAACCTTTCTGAACAACCAATACATGTGCTGGGAAAATAAAGACAACAGCAAATCCTATATTTCGTTCTGTTAATATATTGTAAAATTCATAATATGGAATATGATGGATTCTCTTAGTACTTTGTGTCAGTACTTTACAATTATCATAAATTTGACAGTTTCTTCATTCAGGAAAGAAGATTATTCCCCTATTTTGAAGTGATCAATATTTAGATCAATATGAGTTATATGTAAAGTTTTTGTCTACATAGATAGAGGTAACACAAATAAATTTCTAGACGACTCAAGAAATCATCAATAACATTATTAATATTCTAGGCATATAAGATGCCTCACATTATCTGGTACTTCTGAGACTAGTGGAACCTAAATGTATATAAAAGCAAATGTAATATACACAAATGTCTAGTCTATTAACAATCCCCGTAGTTCGATAGCGAAAATTTAATTTTGATATTGCAATTTCTGGCTTTCTATGAATATTTTATTATAATTTTAAACAGTTATTATGATAGCTGTAAATTCTATTCTGTTCAGTGATAATTTTATGTCCCCCAAAATGTTGACAAAATTCAAGAGGGAAAATGTCACATTCGACTCGTGCAGTCACACAACCTGTGCAAATTAACACTACCATTACATCTATTTTATGATTACAAATAACGACTCCCCAGGGAAATGAATGAAACATTTAATATCTATACACTACTTACCAAACTATCCAGTTCCTCATTGCTGGAAAAGTACTGTTTGTCTGCCCTTGCCTGGCAAATATCAACATACAAACAAGAAAAAAGAAAGCAAATATTATATTAACCAGATTATCTCAAAAGATTAAGAGCAAGAAAGAATAATATTGGTCTACAAAATGCAATGATGTTTTGTTTGACTTTGAATCAAGCTACATTGCTGTATAGTGGGGCTGGTTTGCCACCTTATGTGTGTAGGTTGGTAGTGGTGTTGCATGTATGTGGAATACACTAGCAGAGATGCAAGGGTAGTGTAAAATGCACACAACTAGTAAATAATTTATTGCAGTGTGGGTCATACTGCCAAAAATGGTTGTGTCATCTATTCATCAAACAATTAGCACAAGTTTGATAAAAGATACAGCACACTTAGGTCTTTATAAAAGTTTTGCTGCTGAATAACAGGCATATGATAAATTCCTTTTCTCTTGTGCTCCAGATGTTTAATTTTTACAATTAGAAAAGCTTCATTTATCGTTCTCTGTTCAAGTGATATATCTTGTTTTTAATGTAGTGAATTACAAGATTATTAGAACAAGATTTGAAGCATATATTTCCACAAATGAAACAAAAAAGAATTAATTTCTTTAAAAGTCTAGGTTGTTGGGGCATGCATACTTAGGACATAACACAAAACTTTAAACAATACAAACATACTAGGTTAAAAAGCTTTCTATACTTCTGTCATTCATCATAATTTTTGGGTATGAATTATGTTTTAATAATTTCTTTGCAGTCAAAATGAGAACAGCGATGAATAAAAAATCACGTTGTAACTGAATATTTTGGTCATAACCCTCAACTCTGAAGATCCCAGTTTTGAAATATGGCAAAAGAGCTCCTGGCATGGATCAATTTCTGTTTCACTCATAGGCCATGGGAACACGATAAGAACATCTATAGGGAGAATTTAAACCCATATTTGCAAATATACTTTCTGCTTAAAAATTCCATGGATTATACGTGAAATAAGAAGAAACTAAAACAGAGGGAATACTAAAAGGAATGCAATGTTTGAGAGAGATAGAGATATATATTATAGGGGGAGCCTGTTTTCAGTGTATCGTCAAATTGCCTTGGTAACGGAGCTTCCGTCTTGATTGAAGACATTGGAAAGCATTTGACAAAAGCCAGAAGAGATGGGCTGGATTACAGGAATATCATGCCATCGCCATTTTCTAGCAGACCAAATGGCTTAAAGCTCATATCACCGGTCATTCTGTCAATCAGACGAGTGAATTGAAATGGCACAGGCGCAATAAATAGCAGCACATGCAACAGAAATGGGTCTTCGTCTCGTGCAATTGGGAGAAATACAACGAAATAAGTGTGGGGCTGTGTGTAGGGATGCAGACTGTTTTTAGAATTCAAGAAGATGGAACATTTAACAGGGGAAACATTTAAGATAAACAGATTTAAGATACAGAATAGGGAACACTGAAAAAACATAAATATTTTCTGGATATGAGCAAAGAAGAATATATTCAACTAAGAAAGCAAATAATACTGAAATAAATCATCTCACCTCAATTGATATTAATAAAGCATGTCAGAATGTTTAATAAAAACATGCAAGATTAAAACTATACCATCAAAGAAAAAATTGGTAGGTAAGATTTTGTTCTATTTAGAAAAATATTTTACTTATCTTTGTACCCTATCAGCAGGGCTAAATTTTTAAATCGTATTCAATAGAAAAGAGAAATAAAATTCTGAAGAATTTATTGGGTATTACATTAATTCATCATCACCCAGGAAAATAGGCCTACCAGACTCCAATGACAATTGATAATTCAGGTTTTGTTATTAAATATCAACTCTTTTTTTAAACATTCAATTATCACAAAGAAACATCAAATAAATATTCAAGACTATGGAAAGGGACAAGACTGATACCAAACAGTTTCAAATAAAGGGATATAAAGATGAAGTGTAAAAACCCGTTGCCTTCTTCACCTCGTGTACCTGTTTTGCAAAAACAGCGATGTCTTCGTTGAATGACTCTGATGAGCACACATCGCCGCCCGCCACTCCGGGCTCTCTCGGGGTACATGTCGCTAGCTCGCACTTCTCGAATATTAGCGCGAGCAGTGGGAATAGCGGGTGCCTGTGGACAAAAATAAAACAACCGTCTTCAGCATATTTTATTGCCCCGTTTAGCGGATTTTCAGTGGCTTAGCATTCAGGGGAAATGGGGGTAAAATGTGGATGATAGTTTGTATTTTGGAATAAGGCAGTGTTTTGATTAGGAAACACAGCCTACTTAAATTGGAGAGCTCCCCCGATTTCCCCCAAACCATCGGGATTTACTCCTTACGCGTTCAACTGCCGTATCCTATGACAAACCCGAATTTGGTTTACCAATAATGAATAATTCCGTGAGCTATTTTGACTCATTCTTCAAAGAAATTAAGAGGATTATTACCAACCCTACATACTTTGAAAATGGGAGGATGCAATCGTAAAAAGAATTAAATATTTGCAAACGAAAAAAGGCCAGATAATGCTGGGGCGAGTTGCATGTTTTGAAACTCTTTTTGGAAAGCATTATCAATTTCACGATGCACTCCACACACATCACAACCTGTCGCCCGTTTTTATGAAGTTTTCCGGTGGGGCAGGACGGCGCTAATTTCAATATAACTGTATTTTCTAGACAAAGGCAATGTGACAAAAAGTACGTGTTAACTGTTTTGGGCCATTTTAAGAGCTCACACGTGTTTTCGTGCGTATCAACAAGAGTAAATAAATCTATGTTTTCAATTGAAATCAACAATTGTCAACCGAAACTTCTCCGGTAGCAATACAGCGACTAGCAGGAAGCAATGAAACCATTCCCAACAGATTTTTTTCTTTTTTTCGAGAGATGAGGGAGAGAGAGAAAAAAAAACCATGAACTGAGAAGGCTCTATATTTAATATCTCGCTACTTCAGATGAATAAATCAATGCTGTACCCGTAGATTGCATCTTTGTCCCTTTTGTGAATATCTGTGACACTTTGTGTGACCGATGGAGTAATGACATTTGAAGGTGTATGTCCAGGGTAAAATTGTGGATGAGCGACGGATGGTGCGTGGTTCATGTGAGGTTGAGCGTAAGCCTGCGAGTAGTGTACGGCTGTCCGAGGGGCATGGGCCTCGTACATTGATGTAGACGATGCGTCCAAGGTTCCGTAATGCGGCAGCCCGTCATCGTAACCCTGCAATTAAAAGAAGAAAATAAACACAAAGATTTAATTTCAAACCATTTTGAGGTAACATATATTTTAAGTTGGTAACGTTGTTTTTCCATGATTTACAGTTTTGGGGCAGTTTGAATTATTTGGAGATGAAAAAGACGAACAAAGTTGGAGGAGCGTATCAATGAAAGTACAACCACGCAGAGTCGAAAGTAGTAGCTCAAAACAAAATGTTTTTGAGATGAGGTAATCGTCAAATGTTGCGAAGTTAAAAAAAAGAAGAAAAAAAGCAAAAGAAGAAAATAAACCCACCCTCTGTGCCATGTCGCGAGATGACTTTCGGCAACTCTTGATGAAAATATTTCGCTAAAGTAGTCCAAAGAAACCAAAGAGAGTGATCCACAAATAAAAGTCTGAAAATATCCAAGGCTTTGCGTCGAGATGGTGTGTCGCAAACTACTAATGGTATCCCTCGGCCTGTCAAATCGCAAATCGGGGTTTTGACCGCTGTTACATATCACATTGGCAAGCTTGCAAGGTAGCTAGCTAGACGTGGAAAGTGGTCAGATTATTTTTTCCCTCCTCGCCACACTTTCTCTCTCTCAGTCTCTCGGTCGGTGAGCTGGCTCGAGTAAAAGCATCCACACGACCCGGGGTCTCGCGAGCTGCACTAATGAATGGCTCGTTTCTGTCTGATGAACAGCACTTGCATGCAGCGGCCTACTTGATCGGAGAAATGAGAGTAGAAAGGAGAGAGAGACAGAAACAAAAATTATTGGTGTCTCCCTCGCATTGAATATAACGGTGAGGTTAGTTTCAGCTTAGCCGGAGCTTAGCGGCGGGGGTACTACGAGCATACCGTTCGCACGAATAAACGCTTTCCCAAGGAATACGACTGTGGAAAAAGGTTTCTGCCTCTTGCGCCCGTCAATCATACTGTGTTGCCATGACACTTTGTGACGGATCAGTGGATCTTCAGTCGCATTGCTCAGAAATTACTGACACACAAAGGAGTTTTCCAGAGCTCGGATTCATCCATTCCGCAGCCAAATTAATCCACGCCTGGGATTTCTTATTAAATTTTAACGCGATTATTAATTCTGTGCTCGCGCAACACGGAGCACTTTCACTGTGGAAAAAGAAAATTATCTTCCATTTCAAAAGATGTACAACCATAATACACATCTTAATGTTATTTCATTGGATAATAGTTCACACATCAATTGAATCGCGATACGAGATTCTAACCCACAAAGTAGGAACTTTTTCAAGGTAAGCGACCCCAGACTATTTCTTGCAAATAAAAGATTTGACATCTGATCGAAGCTGGATGAGAATAATTAGATAGAAACAAAATATATTAGAGGCGTTGATTCTTTTTCTTTCTCTCTCTCTCTCTCTCTCTCTCTCTATGACCGCTACAAAGTGAACTACTATTTAATACATTGTTTGGGCCTGATCTGCATTTCTGCAACATATTTAAAACTTTACTGTGCATGTATTAATTTCAAGCAACTCATAGAAACTGAATTCCACTATAGTACTGGTAGCGCAACAACAATTTGGATTACAATATTAATTTTAATACAGGAGCGATCTGTGTTGACATTTGCTGCTAAAGTCCAAGAAAAAAATATGATATGCAATGTCATATTCGATGGCGTCTATAAATCATTAATTGCGCTAAAGTTAAAAATATCGAAAAAATCCCCTGATGTACGCGGGTGATGTTTTTCTTTAAATTTATAATCATCATGATAGCGCTATACCTTTCAAATGGATTGCCACATAATGCGGTTTGATTTTAAAGCCATGCAGATTAATTTCCAGATAAACCGGTAGTTGATGATAGCCCCTATTAAAAAAAGGAGGGAGGGGGACTGCCGAAATAACCTTAAGTTTGATAAATTTCTCAATGTACTTTTTGTAGTATAGATCTTGTTTGTTTTTGTTTTTTTGTTTTTTTGGTTTGTGTTTGTGTGAGGGGGGGGGGGGTAGTATCAATCAACTAGTCGTAATTATAAATATCAAATCTTTGTATTTCAAAGTTTGCATTTTTGAAATGCTTTATGCATGCGTATTAGAAAAGTACACACTTTGAAAATTTCCTCCTAAATTTAGATTTCATGATATCTGCATGAATTTTTCTTAACAAATTATGGGAGAGGGGCTATTCAATCGGAAGTCCCTAAAATATTGACGGTATTGAGTAAGCTTGAGTAAGCACTGGCTAATTTCGAAAAACTTGAGAAAATTGGGTTACGCAAAAGATGCTTCACGCAGCCTTGAATTGGATCAAATTTCGCGAGTTTTTCGAAATTAGCCAGTGCTCTCTCAAGCGTAAAATTTGTAAAGAATCTCGAGGAAGATATCGTGAAGTTGAAATTTTGGAGGATATTTTCAAAATGTGTAACAACGACTTGTAAAGTAAATGCCACACAACAGCCCCCATCCCCTAACAATATAATTATTGTAAGAATTACAAATTCTCAATTTCAGATTTGTTCATGATCATTCCAAAAGTATAATATCCCATTTTCTATTCTTCTAAAATGTTACAATGTTGACTTCTTTTTATCCAAATGAAATATCATCCGTATATGCATTGCATTCCTGTATACATACGTTTTTTAGGAAAGTTATGCGCGGGAGCATAATACTATGTGAAGCACTTGTGTTTATTATGTCGTTATAAAGAAAACAGAATGACGGTTCAAAAAAAAATATTTCAAAAAAATAAAGAAGCAGTGTATTTATCAATAATGACTGTAAACACTGCATAATGGAAAAGTCTCCAGATGACTATAGCACGTGAAAATGCAAATTAATTGACATGATTGATGTGGACATGCCATGCGTAAGTCTAGATTCATCTGGTTGTCCCCGTCTCAATGCAAATCGCACAACATTTACATAAAACGTCTTAAAGTAGTATTACTTTTATATAATGTAAAGGTCGTAGTTATTGTAATGGGAAGTAGTATATTACTTTTATGTAATGTCAAGTAATGTCAAGTAATGTAATGTAAAGGTCTAATAGTTAAAGTACGATGACAAATGCCACAATAACGCATGAATTAAAAAGGTATTCCCTTTATGTTTTTGAAACAAAATAACCTCTCTTGGCCTATATAAAAAAAAAACATTGTTGAAAAACTCTCTCTATATTTAGACACGAGTAAGAAAAAGACTGGAAAAGGGAGATGTTAATAAGGCCAGACTATTCTCCTTTTTTTATTTACCGTCTCTCTCTTTTTTCTCTCTCTATTTTTTTTCTTCATTTAGGCCCATTATTTTATTGATTTATTCAATTCTTCTTTTTTTCTTTTCTTTCTTTAATCTTTATTTCTTTCATGGTTTATCCTAATTTTTGTTTTGTTTCAATTAAAAAACCCTTATAATTATAAACTTGTTCACCTTTCACCCACTTTGATTGAGAAAACAATCTTCCCGACCGCCTACTCCAGCATTAATGGACTATTATCACATTGAAAAAAAAACTTGTCCTCATTATGTTTTATATTTGCCTACTATCGGCTTTTTGCATTACACATTACAAAAATAAAATAACAGCTTTTAAACAGCTTTTTAAGATATCAAAGAAATGATAATTGAACCATTGTGATTTCTGAAGGTCCCTATCACCCGGGTGTATGCTCTTTGTTTTGTTTTCATCTATCTTTATACTGCGAACGTAAGGTTCTGTATTATATTTATGGAATGTTAATACGTGCTAAGCCTATGCCATTGACAATTTTTGAACAATATTATGATATTACGCCATTGGGTATTCAGAATGATTTATAGACATACATATTTTTTAACGTGTATGGAACAGATTATAGTTAATGATATTCGAAGTTGTAGGTATGACCGTCTGAGGAGATAACTTTTTCCTTTTTTCTTTATACTCAACTATAATTTAATGATAATTGAGCAAAGAAAGACGTCTCCACAGCTTAGGAATATTATTAGTCTTATTTTCATTATTTCGCACATAATATTAAGCCGCTTCATGTTTGTCACTTACAAAGGAAATAAGCATGATAATGACAGTACTATATTGCATAATTTTGATTGCAAAAAATAATGATTGTAGATCTAATTAGTTAATAAATTTCCTGGTTTTGCATATAAGATCAATCATAATTATTGTTTCTTAGTTTGATTTTGTTTGTTATTATTGCTCTCCTTTGTATAGATCCTAGGCCTGATTCCTTTCTGTCTTTTGGAGATAATCTGATAAGTGTTGTTTTTATTTGTAGTTAAATGTAATTATCTTCAGTCATCGTATCATCTAAAACGTTGTCTGTTTATACAAATTATTAAAATAACATTATTTCGGCATTTTACCTAATGACTGTCTTGTGTGCTGTTGTTTTTTAATCTCTCTCCCAGGATGTGAGCTCTCTGCAAAATTTACTTTTTTACCATTCTGCATGTGGTTTCAATATAATTATGTAATTATAAAAGCTACATTATTATAAAATCATCAAGAAATAATTATAGGCTTTTACAGACACCTGCTTTTTTCTTTCATGTATCAATATAAATGGTTGTTATAGTTGTCCATTAATCATTATAATGTAGTATTGTCACTGATATTAAGTAAACACAATTGTAGTTATTAAAAAAAATGATCAGATTGATGTCGGCAAAGGTAATTAATAAATTATAATAATGGTAAAAATAAATGATTGGGTCTTATTCACCCAGGGTTGCCATGTATATTAATACTGCTCTTCCCGCGGGCCCCGATTATTCATTTATTTATTTATTTATTTCTGATATTTGTATATACAGGGTGGCACATAATAATTATTATCACCAATTTGGTGGTCTTATCATTACACTATATAGAATTGCCAGGTATACCCATTTACACCTGGGTGGAGAGTGCCCATTGTGGAATTACGTCTTGCCAAAAGACGTTTGTGCCGGACTGAGATGCGAACCTCAAACATTGAAGAAACACTTTACCACGACACTTAATATCGTATATAGGATGACGGCTATGACGATGAAGACGACGACAACGATGACGACGGAGACTAAAGCGAATAGAGGTATAGAGGTGTGCGGGTAATAAATGAAAAGAACATTTTAATCTTTCCTTTAAAGCCCCTCTGCATTAGTTTGGCCAGAAGGGATTAGACCTCCCTGCATGGTCACCGACAGGTGGTTATCTCATCAAATCAGCTCTCAAGGGATCATGGGGGACCAATGGTCACCGATTAGGTAATCATAGAGGGCGCAGGTAGCTATACTGTAGTGCAGTGGGGATTTAATAGGAGGCCTGTATATCTCGCTATGATTATGAGGATACAAAGGGGAGTGATGATGGTAAAGAAAACATTATGCGGGGAAGAAAAGTATAAATATGCTGCAAAATAGTGGTAGGTGTTATGAGACCCTGTGGCTGCAGGGCCGAGCCGGAGAAATCCAAAACAGGTTTCCCTTCTATAAGAGGCAAACGGATTGAATTAAACACCATAAAAATGAAGGCGAGGACAAGACAAGCAGATTTTTTTTTAAAGTTCGAAATGATGGGTTATAAAGAATATTTAGGAAGTGATAAAGTTGGTTTGATTCACCGGATAGGATTATTGTCAAACGGATTAAGGTAACTATAACCCATTTCTCAAATTCTTTAAAAATAAATGCATACATGTGAAAAATAAATGCATGCATTCATTTACATTTCAGCCACCATGGAAAATTCGATAATGATGATTTCAATTATCTTTTTGCATAATAATCTTTAAAATAATGAAGATGATGAATCTTTGATTGACAAGCGATAAACAATGATGTATTGGAGAGAGGGGTAAAATTCATCGTTAATACTATTCCTAACATATTAATATAATCTAATAATTATGCTTTTAATCATATTAAATTAAGTATATCGGATCTGTCTTTGGTGTATCCAGCATAAGATGGAGCCGGCCAACATACCCCTCACCCCACCGCTGAAGCCCCTCCCCCTCCCCCTAAAAACATATCAGTATAACATTAATTGGACCGAGTCTTTGGTATTCGGGGCTTCCCTATGATCTGTGAAAGGTTGCCCT